AAAGAAAGAAAGAAAGAAAGAAAGAAAGAAAGAAAGAAAGAAAGAAAGAAAGAAAGAAAGGAAGGAAGGAAGGAAGGAAGGAGAGAGAGAAAGAGAAAGAGAGAGAGAAAGAAAGAGAGAGAAAAAGAGAAAGAGAGAAAGAGAGAAAGGAAGGAAGAAAGGAAGAAAGGAAGGAAGGAAGGAAAGAAGGAAGGAAAGAAGGAAGGAAAAGATAGTCCTGCCATACATTAAAAAAAACTCAGAAAAACAAACAAACACAAATACCCTCTTGTAAGGACAACTGTAGGGGGGAAATAGAAAGGCAGAGAGCCTATGGCTCATGCCTGTAATCCTAGATATTAAAGATGCTGAGACCTGAGGATCTTGGTTCAAAGCCAGTCCTGGAAGATAAAGCCAAGCCACCCATATCTCCAATTAACCAGCAAAAAGGTGTAAATAGGGATGTGGCTCAAATGCGAGAGTGCCAACTGTTAGCAAAAGAAGAGTGCAAGGCCCTGAGTTTAAGCCCTAGCATTGCCCATCTCACCAAAAAGGTAGAAAATAACAAATGTTGGTGCTGGTCATGTGGAAATATAAAGGGCAGCCACATAGGGAAAACAGTTATGTCAATTCCTAAAAATAACCAACAAATTACCAAACAATCCAGCAAATTTTTCCAAGTAGATACCCAAAAGAATGAAAACAGAGACTAAATCAACTATTTGTACATTCAAGTTCATAGCAGCATTACTTACAACAACCAAAAAGTAAAAGTACTCCATGTATCTATCAACAGATAAACACAAAATGGTATATATAACGGATTGTCATTCTGCCTTAAAAATGAAATTGTGACACATAGTGCAACAAAGATGAACCTTGCTAAGGAAAGGAGTCAATAACCAAGGATAGTAAATAAAGGACAAATGAGTCTATTAAACGAGGTACTTGAGAGTAGCAAATTAATAAAGACAAAGTAAAATGGAGTCAAAAGTTCTTTTTTTTCTTAACACATACAAGTGTTTGTTTCAGACAATTTCAAGTAATGTCAAAGCATAACAATGTGAGCACCAAAGATGGTATACTTAAAACTGGCTAATTATATGGGCTGGGAAGGTGGCTCAGTGGTAGAGTGCTTGCCTGGCATGCATGAGGTTTGATTCTCCAGCACCACATAAATAGAAAAACCTGGAAGTGGCACTGTGGTTCAAGTGGTAGAGCAGAGAACTAGCCTTGAGCTGAAGAGCACAGGGAGAGCACCCAGGCCCAGAGTTCAATCTCCAGGATCAAAAACAAAAAGGGTTAAATGTTAAATTTTATCATTTTATATATTTTATGAAAAGCAGAAAATTAAAATCAAACAATTTCACATAAATGATGAGTTCATATAAATGTGAATAGTTGTTTTTTAAAGAAGTAAATGCTAAGTTATAACTGCTTTTGAGAATACATATAAAGGTCAAATTTTAATTCCAAGAACACTTGATCGTCAGCTGATTTCAACACTACCCAAAATGGCCAAACTTTAAAATAAATAACATTTCTGGATACAAAAAAATCTGTATAAAATCTAAAGTCTGCTAAAAGGGACAAAATTTATATGGTCTAAGAACAAAGAAATTTTCAGACAACAAACACTATAAAAACGTTCCCTTATAATATATAATCCCTCAACTACATCAGCTC